TTCTGAAAAGTAGGACAGTAAGCGCAACTTGAAATTTATTGTCCAAAGAAAAGTGTGATTTAGATGCTGAGAGCCAGCTTAGAGCCTGGCTTCTAGTAGCGAAAAGTCTCATCCCCCAACCCTTTTCTTTGTAGCTACAAGAACACTTTCTCGTTTCTTTGTGGCAAGACTGGCAGCATGTGGGAAGGAACGACTTTCACTGGTGGGTCCGATGGCTCCCAGAAGCTGTGCGCTGTGTTTACACAGGGTATACAAAGACTTTGAACCCAACTTTTTTTTATCCATTACAAATGTAGTTCTACCATGTGTCACACCTGTAAGTGGAAAACCATGTTCAATTGAGACCCATAGTAAGAGCATGATTTTTCTCTTTAGTTTTGACTAACGTTTTTATTACTAAGGGTTGAGCTGAATAACTTAGCACAGTAGAGAACGTGAGGTCCCATCTAGCAGTTTGCCCTTGTTGGGTTGGCTTATTTCTATTTGGATATCACCAACACTCCTCTGCAATGCATTCCTTTCCCCATAGTTCTCAAAAATAAATGCCGTCAAATTCCAAAGTTTGTTTTGACTTGGTAGTGGTTGGGACATGGGACAACAGAGAGTTTCTGGGCGAGAGGAATGGCGAAGTCTGTCTGTTTTGTTTGATATGTTCACAGCAGAACATTGTACTTCTGTTTGTGTGAATCCACCGGTGTCTCCTTTTAAGTATCTACCACTTCTTTGACTTGATATTTAAGACTGTCTTAAATCCTTCCCCTAAAATAATGTGACTCTGAAATTTTGCATATTTTTTGTATTGTAATCATGCCTTCTGAGTGTCATGCTTGCAACCTTTAGAGACTTGAGCCAGTAGAGCACTACAGTAATGGTTTATACCCTATGAGATAGTGCATTTTGATGGGTCATTAACTGCAAACCTTTGGGGAGAATAAAGGTGGGGTGGTTTTGTTTTGTTTTTGATAAATGTGGCTTTTAAAACTTGCTTTGAGAGTACAGAAATGTTCCATGCAGCAGCAGTGACAGCACAGCCTGGACCAAAGCCTGCAGAGCCCCCAGCCCTCTGCAGTTGGGTCAGTGCTGGGAGCACAACGTGATCTGGGAAGGTGGCATCTCGCATTGGACACCTGGTGGGAGTCGCCCCGGGACCGTCTCACCTCCCGGTGCTGCCGAGCACCCGGACATCCCCGCTCGGAGCATCAGGTAGGCAGAGCAGGAGCAGGACTCCCGAGCCGTTCTGCTCTGGTTGCGGTGGCAGTTTTCAGCTGGGATTTGAAATGAATTTGCTGGCAACAAGAGTTGGAGAAACGGAAGCAGGTGAGAATTCAGAGCGAGCGCCTGGTGTGTGCTGCCTGGAAACATGCTTGGGTTTTGCGTCACCCGGGTGCTGCATCACACCAGGCCATAGTTTAACTTGCTTTTTAGGCTGGTTGAGGCAGTTTGTCTTGCGCACTGTTGTTAAGTCGGCACGGTGTGGTGGTGATCCAGCAGCAGGAGAGCTGCCGGCTGAGACAGGGTTATTTTTCAGCACGATCAGTTCCTTGATGCAGGCTTGTGTGGACCCAGTGCAGAGAGGGTGACAGGATGGGAATGAGGGACAGGGAGCAGAGTCAGCCTTGTTGTCCAGAAGTTTATTTGCACCCTTCCCTTTGCATTGCGCCAACAACTGTGCCCATGCTCCCCTCCCAGCCCCCAGGCTCACTTGCAGCTGGTAGGAAGTGTAGAGTGGGAGAGGCAGGGGGAATTTCTGCTGTGCTTCCAACGACTTTGTAGTGTGAAACTGAATTTTCTCCTCATCCAGGCCAGCACTAGTGCCAAAGGGAAGTCCAAGCAGTGACTTCCACAGCTGGTTATTGCCCATCTCATATCAGGGGTAAAAGCTTGCTCTTAAAATTTACAGCAAGATAAGTCTAGAGTTTGCAACAGTTTTATTTTGGTGCATAAAGGTGTTAACCTTTAGCAGTGTAGTAGGGAAGTATAAAGCTAAGGGTTTGAGAGTTCATTTTTATCTGACTGAAATAACTGCCCCAGGTGTCACTGTCACCTTCTACATGGGTGATAATCCCTGTAGAACTAGGAGTGGTTAATCTAACCCTTTTCAGAAATGGGGCCAGGGCCTGTGGCATTATTGTTTTTTCTGGACTAAAGCTAGAGGAGATGAGAAATCAGCCTGTGCAGTGATGAGTGCCCCAGGTGCCAATAAATACCACCCTGAGGACACATGTAACAGGCAGCAGTGAGCATCTGCATCTCCTTGAGCAAGTGCCAGTGAGTTCAGTGCAGACAGGAGGGGTAAGGCAGCATGGGAAAACATCAGGCAAGTCACACTAAAAGGGCACGATATTAAACACGCTGCACGACAGCAGCATTGGAATTGCAGGGCCATCTCCCTCCCCAGACACAAGATGCCACCAGTCCGGGGGGGATGTGCTGTGCTCAGGGCGTTGCAGCTGTGGAAATGCCAACACAAACCAACCCCAACCTCCAGCCCAGCCCTACCGTTTCTCCAGGGGTAGCCAGAACAGCCCTAGTGCAGCAAGCTGGATTGGGCAGTTAGTTACAATCCATTAAATAGAGCTTTTCTCCCTAGTGCTGCTTGGTCTGTGCGCACTGGGGCAGCCTTGGACAGGGCTTGCACCAGCTCCTTAAGCTACCAGAACATGGGCCTGCGCTGGCCCAGCTACAGGGTGGGTGAAGATGGTCCCCTCCTGAGCACAGGGCAACAGGGGGACATTTAGCTCCTGCCTGGCACTGCTGGCTTCTTGGAAAAGGGGCTGGGGAGGAGGTGGTTGAGTCAGGGCCCAGTAGCAGCTACCCTCAAATGAAAAGCAAAAAAACACCCTGTAGCCCATGTTATTTTTCAGTGATATTAGAATAATTTATAAAGGCATCAAAACAAATTCAACATTTATTAACAAGCTGATCTTTCAAACAATACTTAATTACTAAGACATTTTGGTGAAGTTGAAGGCACCTTGAAACAAGATGGAATAGTAGCAAAAATCATGCTGCTTTCTGCAGCATCCCCTTCATTTTAAAACTGCGTGTCCACCCTCTGAATGACTTCTCTGCTTTATCTCAGGGACATCTTTTACTGGACTTGCAGTAGGAACTTGCCCTATTTATATCTACAGAGCTGTTTACCATTCCTGCCTAGCCCAGCTTCTGTTCTGGGCTTAGGAAGAGAAAGAAACAGAAAACCTGAAGCAACTTCTATATGTCAGATAGAGGTCAAATGACTAGTTTTCTGCAGGCACCTTCCTGACTTTTGAATTAACATTGCTCTCTATTCACTAGGAACAACAGGAAAAAAAAGGCCCAGGAGAGCAGCTGGCCACAAACTCTGCTGCTGTCAGAGGCCCTGCAGCATTTGCCAAGCAAACAAAGGGGCCAGGACAGCGTGTGGGCAGCGCTGCTGAGAACGGGCTCCTGGGCTGGTTGTGTAGAATGGGCTCTGATAACAGGCCCTGCTGGATACTGCCTTAAGCTAACAGCCAAGGGAAATGAAGTCACTCTATATGTAAACAGCTACATTATCTAGCAAGGAACACTTCTATTCTGTTGTAATAGCTACCAAAAAAAAAAAAAAAGGCAGCACTGCTTCAGATGCTGGGCACTTACCTGCACTCTGTTCACTCCCAAGAGAAATTTAACCTTCACTCCAGCGTGTTTTAACAGGGGAAAGAATCTCCTCCCCTTCTTGTACTCTGAGCTGGCCCCCTAACAGTTACAGCAGTAACAGGGTTCTAGGAACAATCTGAGTCAGCCTGATTTGAGAAGCATCTTGGTCATTTCTGCTGCTGACTAACAAAAAAGAGAGGAAAAACAACTGCTTCAGGGTAAGTTTTCCAGTAGGACATCAGCAAGGTATCATAGTCAGCCTGCCTTGGCTTCATTTCTTATTTAACTATCCAGTGCACTTGAACTGAAGCCCAAGTGGACACCCCGTCTTCTGGAGGTAGCTTATTCCATACAGGTGCTCCAGCAAAGTTAGAGGTGATGAGGTAACCAACTTCCCTCCTGAGCCTACCCTAAGCCCAGGTGTTGTTAATCTCACATACCTGGTAGCACTTGTGCAACAGGCAGTGATAAAGGGAGGAAGGAGAGGTGCATCCTCCTCCTCCTCCAGTGCTTTAAGTCTGCATCTGATCATTGGGAAGCTCTGACAAAAGTCTAGGACAGAATCTGTGACTGCTGCCTAGGACAGAGGTTTCTCACAAGTAAACAAACCTGGTTACTGTCATCTCCCTCCCTTGTGAAAAGCTGGTTGTTTTATCTAGTCATAAAACTGAGGGAACTAAGCCAAGGAAGGGGATCAAAATTAAACAAGTTCCTCATCTCTGATAGCCCCTTCATACAAGCCAGCACAGCTTAGCAATGCTAACAGAGCAGCTCCAATTTTTTTTTTAATGTATAAAAAACATTTTGTAGCTTGCTCTTACCTGCAGCCATCAGTAGGTGGGCTAGGAACTGCTTAACTGATTCATGTCCTTTGTTTTATACAGTTTGGCTTTTATTATTATAAAATGACCCAGTATCAGAGAAAGGCAGGCAGGCAAACAGCAGTAGCAAGAACTGTATTAACTAGCAGAGGAAGGAGCTGACAGTCTCATTTTAACCTGTTCAGAACATTAAATGAAAAAACAGAGCTCTACAATTGGGGAAAATGCTTCAAAGTACAGAAGGACAGTTTGCAGAGAAACACTGGAAAATACAGCTCTCCCCCACCCATCAGAGCTAAGGAGCTCTGATGAGTCCAGGAAGCCAGAACCGCTGTGATTCTCTATGGCATTGGCTTTAAGTCACATTTGTTGGTAACCTCACCACAGTATAGAAATGTTTTCTCCAAAAAATGAAGTCTTCCATGACAATATACAGCATATTTAGTAACTGTTCAACAGTCCCTTGGTTTATCTGTCACACTTAGCCTGGTGCAGTAGTCAACAAATCTCTGATTCCAAAGCTGATCCTTGGAACTGCCACATATTCCATTTGGGCGGTCACACGAGGCTTCCTGGCCAGGACACCACAGTCAGAGTGACTTTGTTTCTTTGCTCTTTCAGCATTGGGATTAGTTCCGAATTGCTCATTCCTATAGCAGGCACTCCATTCACTGCCACTATTTCATCTCCGCACCTAGTCAGAAGAGAGGAAACAGGACACACTAAATTCACTGCTAAAGCCACACTGTAAGGTCCCAAAACATTTGAATAGCTGGTCCTCCCCAAAATGAGATTATAAACTCTTTGGTGAAATGAATCATTTGACTAGATGAAAGATTAGGGGCAGGAAGAGAGTGCATGCAAGCACAAAGTCCTGTTGCTGACAGTGGCTGGCTTCTAAGTTCTGTGTTCAGAGGGGTTTAAAATAAAAAGATGGAGAAGATAAACAGAGGATGATGCAAGCATTTAAGCCATAATGCAGTGAAGGGCATCAGGACTGCAAGTGAAAGGCCTGTGAGCAGAGGGAAAATTACAGAAAACAAATCTGTGCTGATAATAATTCACCACCCATGACTCTCCAACAGCTCCTTGAGAAGCAGACACTAAGGTGCAGTGCTGAAGCTTGATGTCCCACTTGTGCTTCAACAGGTTCTGCCTGATCTGGCCAACCCTAGAGAGCACCAAGCTCTCTATGGAGCAGTTGTACCATTCTGCCTGTAGCAATCTGAAATGCAGGAGCAGTTTTACAGGTGCCAGGTTACCTGCGTCGCTGTCCTAGTTCCAACAGAATATAGTGTGGGATTTAAAATAAAACAGTTGCATTTTAGAGAGATACCAAAACACCTTGTTAATAAAAGGGACTGTTCAACTTTGCTAGTACTAATACTCCACAAGTGAGCATCAATGGAAGTCATTAACTCAGCTACTGAAGAGTTCAGCTGGTTACAAGGGGTAGAAGACACTAAAACTGTCCACACTAGCATCAGCAGAGCTCCTGCCACAACCACCCAAGCCCAAAGACAGCTCACACTCACTTCAGCCTCCGGTCTCGGAACGCAGGAGTCCCAGGCACGATGGTTTTGATGAAGAATGGCTGGTTTCCTTTACTTTCTTCAAAGCCTCCAACAATGCTGAATCCCCAGCTCTCCAGGTTGCCTTTACTCAGGACAATATCTTGACAGCAGTGAAGGTAACTGTGAAGACAGGCACAGTCAAAACCAAGTAAGGATTCTGTGTATTTTTCAAGGAAAATTGCCTAACAAGTTCTTGTTGCATGCATCACTGATGAAATAAAATGAGGTAAAGTTGCCTTTCTTCTACTAAACACACACACACAAAAAATCAAATCGGAGTATGAGGCGTTCCTGCAGGACTTGCAACCAGAACTGCTGTTCACAGTAAGATATTAGGCTCTTAGGAGAGAACAAAGGTGACTGGTTTTGAACAGCAGCAGCTGCAATGCATCCACTCATATTTGAGGATTCCAAGTCTGGCAGGCACTGCAGGACTGAGCGCCTTGGCAGCACAACACATAGGCACAAAGAGCCCATCCTGCAGCAGTGAGGAGCCTGCAGGGACAGGGCAGGAGCAGGGGTGGCCGCTCGCGCTCCGCGTGGCCCCGGGCTGCATGCGGGCGGCTGCGCAGCGACCCCGGCGAGGCAGCGCAGCCTCCTGAGCACCGGCCCTGCAGGGATGGGATTTCACACTGCAAAAACTGCCTCAGCCAACCTCACACTAGGAGAAAGACCCAAGTAGCTCCTTTCCCAAGCGCAATTTACTTCTCTACATGTTCTTCATACACAACTCTGGAGACCCGGCCTACTGCTACCTCTAGATTTGGGTCCTACTGACACAAAAATGTGAAGACACAGCTGAGACAGGGGCATTTGGCACCTAGTGCAGTTATGAAGTGAAAGCACCCAGGGTAGTGTTTCATATACATGGGCTACATACACTTTCTACAGAAGTTTGGCAAGGTCATTCTTCAAGTATTTGCCAGAAGTCTATGTCCACGTGTAGAGGGCATTTAGAAAGAGGAACATTAATTCACCATGATGAAAAGCGATGGTAGACAGCATATTTTAGCCTGTCCTTTCTATAAAAGCACAAGTTTTTATTCTGACAAATGCTCTGCTGGGTTTGCAGTTCTGCTTCCCATTGAGGACTTGTGAGCTGCTCTGCTCCCACAGGGCCACGACACAGCATCTATTAGCAACTGCTGAAAGAGCTCAGGCTTCAGCGGCAAACGTCAGATAAAACTTATGGAAAATGAGGGGACAAAATACTACTTTTCTGCCCTTTGAGAATTAGGCAGAAGTCATACTGAACACAATAATCATTTCAAGAGCCAGAGTTTTTACAGAGAGGAGACAAGTCAAGCTGTAAACTTGGTATTTGTACAATCTTTAGGTTTGAGCATGCAATGAAATAGTCCTCCTGCCCCATAACACCCTAGCCACCTACAAATGTTTCTTTTGAAATAGAACTTTATACTGTGAATAGTTGGTGTAGATCTAATAAAATACTGTGAGGAAATCTGGTAGAGTTTCTCCGCTGCCTTCTGTGAACGGTGACCCTGGTGAACACTCAGCAGCTGCCATGAGCACCATGTAATTGACTGAACCACTCCTCACCATCAGTTAATAACAAACCACAGAAAGGACAAGGTGAAAGTTCGCAGGGCTGTTAGGGCTACCCATATGCTGCAAGATGAAAATACAAGGAAGATTTCAGCCACCCCGTTCTTCACAGCCAACTGCTCCCTGGCTTGAGGAAAGTACCACTGTGCTGTCTCTGTTGCAGAGATTTTTAGCTCATCAGAAGTATCCGGTGCTGTCCATGGTCAGAGAGAGGGAGAAGCTGCTTAGTGATGTGAGCTTACATGCTAAATGCTGCAATGCTGGAAGTAGCTTTAGGAGCAGATGTTTCCATCCTCTCCTCTGCCCATCATCCCAAGACAGAGGGCCAGGGCTTTAGCCTCCGCTTCAGCAATGCTGGCCCAGCAGTTCTACAGCAAAGTCTGCAGGGCCTCTGCCTTACAAACCCGCGGTTACGAGACAGCAGGCAAGCTACTGAGCAAGCCAAGATGCCAGATGGTATTTATTATAAACAATAAGACAAATACGAGAATAAAGGCTTGAATTGAACACAGGAGGCTAAAACATTGCAAAGACTGACTATCTCCAGCTGTGAGCACTAACTTTGACTCTGCTCTTTCAGCACAAAGTTACTATTTCTTACTAGTAAGAAAGGTTTCTTTTAAAAGGGGTGAAAGAATGTTCTGCTGGATCAGAGAAATATTTGGGAAAAAAAGCTGAACATCAACAACAAGAAAATCCTGTGTCACTAGTGGTGAGCTTCAGACTTTCACAGTGTATCGCAAAATACCAAGCACAAGGCTATGTCGACTTTGGCAAGCAGGGCATCCCACGAGGAGCATGTCTGAGCAGCCAGGTCCATATTCCTCTCCTCAACAGCACATTCTTGATCCAAACTAACATGGTAACATAGAGGCACTTGAAACATTTCAAGGAAACAGCAAGCAAAATCTTTAAAGCCCTTCAAAATTCTGAAAATGAAGAGTCTGATCATGCCAGCCAAAGTCAAATAATGTAAACACGTTGCTTAGCTGAAAAAGGCAGAGAGCTGTTTGTTCCTAAAGGCTTTAGGGAAGCCGTTCTGGAGAGAACTGTTAGAGCTGCTGCTGTGAGCAGAGTGCACGATCAGCGAGGAGCGAGGCAGCACGTGATGGAATTAAAGACATATTTATTACCAGAAGCAAGAAAGAAAACACTGTTTGATATTGGAATGACCTTGCTTTGCACCTTCTGAACGCCCACAAAACCATGCTGGCATAGGAATTCAGATGCCTGAATTCAGTGTGAGAAGGAAGGGGAGAGTAAGAGCAGAAGGTGCTTCTGAAATCACTGTGCCTTGCTTCGCTGAAAGGAGTGGGAACAGTCAAGGGAAGAGGAGCCGGCGTGAATTCGAGTCACAGAATGTCAAGGAATGTATTACAGAGCAGTCTGGTCCCAGAACGAAGGCAGATGACTGATGAGCCAAGGCTAGACTGCAATCCTGGCAGCAGAACCAGCATAAGGTGCAAACCGGCGGCCACCTGCATGAACGGGAATAGGGGAGGGGGAGCACAGCCAGTGTGTGCCACGTTGTGCCTAAGAGCAGTAACGCCCGTGAGAAAACCAACCGCAGCCGCTGTCTGGGGACTTGCGGGCCGGTTTGGGTTACACAGGTGCCGCTCGGACTAGTTCACACCAGGCCTGTGCGGAACAGTCCGGCTCATTCCCTGGAGAAAGGAGGAAGCTGCAGGGCTGTGCTGAACACGAGCCAAGCTGCAGTGGCTCGCGACACAAAAGCTGCCTTCCCTGGGCTGCTGGGTAACGAGGGCAACGGAACAGAGACCGTTCGGTTTTGTTCTGTCAGGTGCCTCAAGAAAGAGGGCTGCAAATAACCCGAGCCTCTCACAAAAGGGTTTGGCTTTGTCACTTGGATTGCGGTTCCAGCTAACGGGCTGCAAATAACCCGAGCCTCTCACAAGAGGGTTTGGCTTTGTCACTCTTGCGGTTCCAGCTAATCGGAGAAGATGTAGGAGATGCACACAACTGTGCTTTGAGGCTGAACACGTTTCAAAGAAACTGCAAGCATGAGCAAAATAGACGTTCACCTCAAAAGGATGGATCTGGCTCCTTTCTTGAGGACCCTGAACACGTTTCAAAGAAACTGCAAGCGTGAGCAAAATAGACATTCACCTCAAAAGGATGGATCTGGCTTTCTTGAGGATTCCAATACTGTAACATGGAACTTAGCACAGATTTTAGCAGTAACGTGGCAGTAAGTCTATGGTCAAGTACTTTGCAACAGGAAAACTCAGCTTGTTTAGAAACACTTTTGCTTTATACTACAGATTACACAATTAAAACAAGTGATAAGCATTAGATTGAAAGACTGCCTCCCCTGAGTGGTGACTATAAAACACTATAGATATTGGCCTGTGCTATGCAGCCCAGAGGAGCCACAATGATTTGTGTTAGTGATATTCTAACAGGGTTTTTTCAAGTCAGTGCCTCAAATGCCACCACCTGTAATTATCATTATCGTTCTTTTGGAAGAATTTTCAGGAAATTCTGGAATATGGATACAATCCAAGAGAAGCAAGAAAATGATAGGTCACACAGTGAAAAGCAGTAGAAGTTATTTATGCATTCTCTGTACTGCAATCTCACTGAGAAATAAGGATTCCCACTGACCTAGCTAAAGAAGAATATAGGGAAGATTTAATTGCTTTCAAGATAACCCCATGACATAACTCATTTGCAGTGAAAGCCTGTGACTGAACGGATCTCTCCGCAGAGTCACTGAGCAAACGTACCTAGGCAGCCCAAGCCACATGATCCAGAGGGGAGACCAGCCGAATCCCTGCTCCTTGATGTCCAGAGGTGGATCTGTTGGGTCCGATACAAGGATTTCCAAGGCTTTCAGTACTACTGAGTGGGAAGCTGCATTAGATTTCAGTGCTGAGACAGCTTCATAGTAGTTTAGGTGAGTCAAATCAATGCCATTTATGCTCAGAAGTATATCTCCTAGTGATTAAATAAGATAGACACACAGACTTAACACATTGTTTGCTAAGAATTCTAGTTTTGTCTCAAGGTCTCATTTAGAACTCTCTTTTCAGCTACATTTTAGTGTCCAACTGCAACTTTCACTTAAAAACAATTCATAAAGTATAAAGGGCAACTAAGGGTCTAAGAGCCTCCTTACCTCTTTTGATTCTGCCATCCCTGAAGAGGCATCCAATGGGCTGTACACTTGTTACATATATAGGGAGCTTGTTTCTGTTATCTCTTCCACCTCCAATTGTTATTCCCAAAGATTCCTTTGGTTCCTTTTTTATTGAAACTGTCTTCTCATGACTTATGTATCCCTGAGGTAGATCCTGCAAAGACATGATAAAATTTGGGTTCATTTATGCAGTTGACATTAGAAGCCCTAGCTGGAAGAAGATAAGGCCACCTTTCATCTTCAACTTAGAATTTGTGAGCAATGTTACTGGAAAACAAAGCCAGCTTGTGGTGTATTTGCTCTGGGTAGAAACACCATCCTGTATTCCCACAGGATACCATCATAACAGAGGGACTGCTGTTTGGGAAGCGATGCTGCTCTCCTAATGATTTCACATCTGTTCGCTGCTGGAAGATGTTCACTCCAAGCAGAACTGCTTTGGTTTTGCTCTGAGAAACAACCAAGCAATTCGTTTCAAGGTTGTTCACATCAAGCGACCAATCTCTCTCCAAATACTAATAAACTGGGATGGATTAGGATCAGTAACTTGTATCACCTACCCGTTCTCATTTTGCTTCTCGTGCATGTCAAAGTTTTCTCAAAGGGTAGTATTAAACAGACTGTCTAGCTATAGGTGTAAGCTTGTAGCATCGGGCACTGCTCTGAAAGTGCTGTGTTCAATAGCTGGTGGGAACCAAGTCCAGTTCCATGACAGTTTCAGCCCTTTACAAATCATGTGGGAAGAATGCTTAAGCCATTCTCAAGAATGGAGACATTTGAATAGATATTTCTATGCTTTTTAGTAAAAATTGTATTTCGCATGGTTCTCTTGTGCCAACAAACATGTACTGCTTTTCAGAAGTTTAAGGGGAAAAGTTGTTCTTGACAAGTTCTGCATGAGAACTTACTCTCAGAGCTAAATTAATTGACCTGTTAAACCAAGAATAAGAGCAGCTGTGGGCTGGATTACAAAGCTTACCTTCTGGTAGGTGGATTTTCGCCTGTAATGATTCTGGTCTAGTCTTCTTCGATGGTGCACGGGGCTTCCTCCATTGCTGCTGCTGCTGCTATTGGATGTGCTGCTGTCTTCAACCGAGTCCGAGAGCTGAACACCCGGCTGCCTCAGCACTACAAAGTTCACTCTTGATTCACTGGTCTGTCAGGAGAAGCAAAGAGCTGTCTGAAACCATTCGAGGGCAAAGTCCTATCACAGTTCTTGAAGCGCTCACGGAGTAGCTTAATCTCATGATGGCTTTAAATAATGTTTCTGAAAGCTGTTCAGAGAGTCTTTGTCTTTATGAAGAGATGCACATTGTACATGCACCACCCTAGTCCATAAAAGGAGCCACCTAAGAGGAATGTTGATTAGAGCTCTGTCTTTATATGCATGTCTTTGATAAACTCAAGGTCGTTCCAAAGCATTAGAAGTTAGACTCAGCCCCATCATTCTGAGGGAGGGAGAAAGAAGGTCAAACATCAGTTTCTACAAAGGGTTTGGAACTTCCAAGGGTTCCATGGTTCTTCTAAGGGCTTCAGATGCCTATAACTAAAGGAATCAGTAAACATTGGCTAGAAAAACAGAAGGGGAAACAGGTTTCCCTTCTGCCTCCTCCTGCTGCAAATAAAAAAGAGAAAGTGGCAAGAAATGATTAATTCCTCCACTTCAGTACAAATAACTGAGATAGTGGTTTTTATTCTGCCACAAAACGATCACTGAGTGAGGACACTTGCTGGCCCACGTGGTGCATGACCAGCTCTGAGCCCGATGCCTTTTCTTTGATTGCAGAGACCCGTTCACCCGGTTGCCTCCCAGCCCAGCTCCCATGTCTTGTTCCACATCTCCCTCCTCCTCTTGCCCCTTTCTCTCTGCTAAGTACCTGCAGCCCGACCTTTTGTCCGGGATCATTGTCAATTAAACACTTCAGCAGCTGCATGCCTGGCCCCGACAGAGCTATTCACTATTGTTACTGCTCTTGTAATGTGGTTTGTTCTCCTGGCTAATCCCACAAAACCTTCCCGTGAGGAACACGCTTAGGGTCAGGCATATTTGCTTATTTATGACATCTGCTACAACAGCTGAGAGAACCAGTTGTGACTCTCACTTCTCAACAGGGGACCCTTGTGCTCATTCTCTTGGTGCCGCAGCACCTTGCAGCAGCAAACTGATGAAGGGGTCTATTTATTTATTTTTTTATTATAGGAAAGCTTTGTTTTTTGAAAAATAATTCAAAAGCTTCACACCACAAAAGTCAATTTGGATGGAACAATTTTTTCCAGACAATCTGGAAGGCTGACACATCTATGCCTTCATAAAATACATTGCAAACATTGTATTTTAAGAGGAGGATTCACCTTCCCCTTCACCTGGGAGATATAAAACTGCAGTGAGTGTGCATATATAAAATATAGCATATATGTATGCTATGGGTGCAAATGGTATTTCACAATACAGGTAGGACTGCTTTCCTCAGATGGCTGCTGATTAAAAATCTTGGTTTAATTTTAACAGCAACAGCTAATGTTTGAAAGACCAGAATTTTACAAAACATCACAAGGAATTGAACCCCCAAATCCCTTGAAACCGGTTCTGAGACTCTAGTTAGTGATTTCTGTAGGACCAAGACAGATTTCCTCATATAGGAGCTACACTTGCACACTAGGAAAGAAACACAGCAACACTTACAGGGACGCAGCCAAAATTCTAACAGATTATGGTACTGAATCACAGCCATACTGGAACTGCTCTCATTCGCCCACCCCACTGTGCTCCTGTGCTGATTACCAGGGAGGGAACTGGCTCTCCCTCCCTGACCTCAGATCCTTTCCGGGATATAAACAGTATGCAGTGGGATGCATTGTGTCAGGATCTTTATCTAAAGACAGAAACAAGAGGCCACTACCTAGAAAAATAAACAAACTCAACTACATGGAATCTGCCATAGTTAAGCTACTCCTACTCTTCTTAAATCAAAATTTCTTGCCCAATCCCTTCACCAGAAGGTTTGGTACATCGCAGCAAGAACATTCCTGTTACGCAGGGAAAGATTGCTGTGCTACTTCCCTTTCAGTATTTTAGTCTGAGTGGCCTTGTTGCTTTCTAGACCCCCTGCTTCCTAAATACAGCTTAAGTGGGAAATCTTAAGAGGGATCCAGATAAACCAAAATGGTTCTGTTCTGTGCTGCCAGCCTATTAGATCTCCCTGCAAGTTTGACTAGCAGAAACGAAGCACTAAAGGCTCTCAATCTCTCACTTTTGCTGTATGCATCTACAGTACGTACAAATATTCATTGTGCAAGAAAGGCTCCAAGCACCACCCTGCAAAGGAGATCCAGTTGCCTTAGCTGAACTACAGTGCCATAAGCAACTGCCGCACTTAAATTTGTCAGAGATGACTCACGATGGATTCCCACTCGTCGTGTTTATCTTCATTTGGAAGCAGTGCTTCCCACACATCCGCAAGGGACGTCACTTTCCCAAAGAGATATTTAAGGGAACGCAGTTTGCTCTAGCATGTTCTTTCAGCCCTTGGGTCAGAACAGGCGCCCTGCTATCGCTGCAGACAGCTGCAGAGCCATTAGACAGACAACTCTGTTATAAATTACCTGGATTATCTGCGCAGCAGTCTCAGGTGTTCCTTGCCTCAGGTCCTGGCCATTTATGGACAGCACTCTGTCATTCCGGCTCAACTTTCCATTTTTGGCTGCCAAACCTCCCTCTAACAGATCTAGAATAAAAATCCCTGCCTCATCCGTCTTCCTGATGAGTTTGATTCCCAAGGGTTCGGATCGGTCTTTCTTAATCAAGGTAACGTGGATCACTTCCCGGTTAGGAGCAGAGCTGGAATCCTGCTGGACAGTCTTACTGGAAAAACCCTTCTCCTGCAGGACCATGAGGTGAAGAACAGGGCCTGGGTGGCGCAGGAAGGAGACAGCTTGACAGTGAGTCACACTGCTAATGTTGACACCGTTCACCTAGAAAGACAAACAAAGCAGAGCCACTAATCAGAACCAAGATAATTGAGGCACTTTCTGCAGTGCAGAGCATCAAAGTTGGAAACAGGATGTACTACTCCCTATTCAATGCATGATTGAAGTAGTTGCTTCTGATGCGCATTAGAGCAGAGTCTTCTAGAAAAGAATGCAGAAGAAAGTAAATTAATAAGGCTCACAGTGATGGAGAATTGCTGAGTACAGAGAAGAGACAGGACAACTCGCACAGCTTACAAATCTGAAAGTGCAAAATATATTAAAAAAATCACAGCTACTACCTCATGGCAATGCAGAACCGATCTCCACTAACTTCAGTATTCAGTACACACTTGGGGGAGAAAGTTGGAGACTTCCCAAAATCTTACACAGAAGTGGTCCATAGTCTGCAGAACCTCTAAAATCATCAGTCCTGTCATGCCTTTACCAGACTAACTCTGAGAAACTTTTTGCTTTGACTGCTGTTACATAAGATTGTACACAGTTTATCTAGGATGCCAATAGGGCTACTAAGTGTGGGCACCTGCTCTCTTTACAGTCCAGTGAAGGCTGTGGCATGCACAGTTCACCTGGATAAAACAGAATTTACAATCCTGAGTTGGTTTCTCAAACCACACGTGTATCTACCACATGTGTATGGGGCTGGCAGTCATTACCAGAGTCTAAGGGGGTAGTTAGGTCTTGACTGCTTGTCAAACGATGGAGCAGCCATAGCTGAGAGGTTTTAACAGTTCTCTCTGCACATTGGCTTTCCTGTTGTGCACAAGCTTCTGTCACCTCGTTGCAATGCAGTATAATGGGACATTAGGTTGATTTGGAAACTAAATCAGGCTGTGGACCAACTTTGCCAAGTTTCGTGCTCTTTATTACTCACACAATGCTGACTTTAAGCCAAAAGGTGTTAAAAAAAGGTCTTAAACTGTGGACTTGCCCCTTGAGGAGATGTAGCTCAAGTAACATAGTAGAGCAAGGCAACTTTAACATGTTCTGGCGAGCGCACAGCCTGTTGGAAAGAAGCGGTGCTGCTGGCTGAAATCTATCAGATAAGAGATCTTTTCATTTCTGCAACATAGTCTAAATATCAAAAAGCCATGGAAGATACAGAGTAAATAAAATCCATGTCCAGTCAAGAAAAGTAGCAACGAGACTATCCATGGGGTTTCCCATACCTCAAGAATATGGTCTCCTGGTGCTATTCTTCCATCTGCAGCAATAACAGAATGTCGCAAGACTTCCTGGACAACAATGTTTCCTAGGGGGGTATCCTTACCCCCCACTATCCTCATCCCCAGATCTTCCTCGGGGTCTTCGCGGTGAATTTCAATCGTGCTGGTCTCAGCCACAAGACTCGCTCGCTGGGGAAGATCTGATTGTGAAAACACAAGAGAAAAGTAGCCAACACATGAACAGAAACTTCTCCCATACAGCAAATGTCCATGGCAGGCTGTGTCCAAAAATCAGCGTTTGAAGAGAAAGGAGGGGAAAGCAGCTATGAGGAGTCAATGCATGAGTAGGTCAAATTAAAAGCTGAAAAGCCGCTAATTTCTCAACAGCTTCTCCAAAATGTTTCCCTTTTCTTCTAGCTCATGGCAAGTTTAAGCTTTTATTGCTATTTTTACGTTTTAGTAAGGGGCATTCAGAATGTTTCTCTTACTATTTAGCAATTTAGCTAGAAATCCACAGCCATAGATCCAACAAACAGCACATCCCCAAATCCCATGATCCCCAGGAGAAAAGGGGACTGCTAAGCTGTAATTAGTGGTTTGCCATTGCCCTGACTCTACCACAGGCAGCTCTCTCCAACTTCCCTTCTCTGTCTTCCTTCCTCCTCCTTCCCCATCCCGCCGCTCGGAGCCAGGAGTGATGTTTAGCTGCTTCAGAGCGTGCTGAAGCTACGCAACGCTTCCCGGGCACTTTGAAGATGAAGTTGCTGCTAGCGAGTCCCATTAAATCTACCCAGCACCGGGGTGGCTGGGCAGGCCCAGTGCCAGTCAAGGTGAGCTGCAGATGCCAAGCAAGAAATAAGGCTGTAGGCCTAGGCTGTAAACAAATTTGCTTAGTGCCATTAAGGAAGGTATTGATCACCCTAGGAAACGGCTTGTATATTTAATGTTCTTAACAAGATTAAAAGAAGCTGGAGCTTTTCCTCATTATTATCTGGCCTCATTGAATGCCAACTCCTTCTATGACAACTCCTTTTTGAGAGGGACTGCCTCTATTTCTTTCCATCACAAGAGAAGAGTACTGCAAATAAAGAATACACTGCAGGCTAACAGAGATGCTCTGAACTGTTTTAAACAGTTTTGTGCTTGTGAGAAGATCTTCCCACACATGATGCACTTGAGTGCATCTCTCTGCTTTTCATAGACAAGCTGAGGAAAAAGATCTACCCCTACAGGAACTAATGGCTAAACAGCACTGAGGATACCTAAGAATGTTAGGGACACTTAAAATTGCTATGTATGAAATAATCACCTTATTTTTATAATATCAAGGGCAATTACATAATTACATTCCTCTATCAAGCTCACCTTCTTCAGTCTCTTCAAAGGCTGGATTAACCAGCCCCGGCTCCGCAGTCCCCAGTGACACCACCGCAGCTGCAGAGCTTTCTGCTGCAAGCAACGATCCTCCACTTGGCACCTCCAGGTCCTTGTGCGGGTTCGTTTCCACCTTGGCAGGGAGATCTTCCTTCCCTTTGGAAAAGGGATTCTTTTTCCGCTCTAGTTCAGCTTTGTATTTCTTGAAACCCGGACACCTGGAGAAGGATTGTTCCTGTCACTAAACGGATGGTCACTGCCTGTGTGGTTATCCCAACACGTGCAAGCCCTGACTGACAAATGTGCACAAAGCATGTTCAAGACCGCATCATGTACCTGCCCAGCTCGTATCACAGATGCTAATACACACTCTTGCTTGACTTTCATCTTCTAACAGTATGAACTTAAAGGTAGGATTCCTATTTACTTACTTTCTAAATTATTATGCAAATTAGTTCTAAAAGGGAAGGCAATAGGAAGAGCAGTTTTCCTTGCTAAATATTTACCACAGAAATCATGTGTGAAGACAAGAATACATCCTTTAAAACATGAGCAAATACTTAGGTCAGCTCTAAAAGGGTAGAATATGAACTATACCTTTATGCAAGGGAAGTGACTCACTTCAAGGTCAGCCTGGAATTTGGCTTTGTTTTTAACACAACGACAGTGGCCAAGACCAGCTTAGTTTTTTGCTGACCAAGCCCTGACCACTCTAGTCCACTCAGGTGCTGGTTCTACTTGAATGTGGGCAATTTTGGAAAGTTTATCCACTATTGACTACTTCCCACATCAACGCCCAAGTACTTCTATATTCAACAAAACACACTGTGTGCAGCTAGACCATAGCCAACCCATCTCAGCAAAAATGGGAGAGGAAAAGCAGGCTCTTTTATCAAGAGTAAATCAAGCACTGAGAACAAAAAATGGTAATAAAAAGGTGGCACGCGAAGTAAATCATGAATGCAAAATCATCACTTCCAGAGGCCTGAGTAGGACTGGGTGGTTACTAGAGTCACATTTTAAATGGAACTATTTACATTCTAGCTAAACAAGTCTCACTGTGGTTCTCCTGGTCATTTTCTCCGAGCATTAACATGGCCCTAAAAGCTCCAGACAAGGGGTGATCAATGCACTTGTGCTCGTCTCCGACGACACAGGGAGGTTGTGCTTATTCACAGAGCGGCAGGCAGCACTACCGAAGCCTCGTCCCTCACTCGAGAGGCTCCATGGCTCCCGCGTGAGCTCTCAGCTTGCGGGTATGAAGCCAAGCAGGACTTGTAGGGATACATGCTTGGCTGGAATTGCAAAAATACCCAAGCCAGAGCTTACCTGCACATCAGTTGCCTTTTTTTTTTTTAAATATGGTTTTGCCACAAGAAGCTACAGCGTAGCTGAAGGGAAACAAGCCTCCTGCATTCCTCATTACACATCAACGAGATGCACTGCGAGCCAAGCAGTGCTGCTTGCAGCATGGCCTGTACTTAGCTCCCTTTGCAGCAATCATTAACTAGGAGCCGACATTCCGCAAGCGCCACGGCAAGACTCATCACCTGAATTGCTTTTAAAGCTGCACAACTGCCTGCCCATAGCAAAACCAGCAGTAGGAGCTACCAAAATACGTGTCTGTTCAAAAGTGCAAGAGGAAAAAGTTTCCCTCTCCCTGCAGATGGGAAAAGGATCTATTTTTCAGTTGCTTCTCTTTCACAGCAAAAGAATGAGAAAAGATAATGGAATTTTAAGTAGGTGATTCAGCAGCTGCATAATGCGCAGCTTGGAGGGACTCACATTATTTGGATCAAAGACTTATGTATTGCACCTCTTAATTGGACCAATTAAACTGGCAACACTGCATGATCCCTTGCCTCCAGAGCGTTGACTTAGCGCCTGTCTCTCTTCTCCGTGCGAGTGAAACGAGAAATTAGCACGCTTCTAACAACTTGCAAAGAGTCAGGTGCCCCATGTCAGGATACACACTTACATACATTTGATAGCTTTGGAGTCCTCGGAGAGCTTGCAGCCAAGAGCAGCAGCACCCCTGGAGCACTCGAGCTCCCATACACGCACACGCAATTACGTTGTCGTCACCCACCCACCTGCCCGGCCTCACCCTCTGCTGCCCCATCTTGCCCCGGTTTAACAACCATCCTGCAAACGGATCTTTCAGTTCAGATGCAAAGCAGACCCGGACAGCATTAAGCACGGAGGAGGAATACTGGGAATAGCGTGTAAAGGGCTCGGCACCTGTTCTGCAGGTGAGCTTCTAGCTCGCACCGCTGCATCGTCTGCTGACACTCAGCCTTGAAAGGACACAGGACCAGCAGCTTATCCAGCAGGTTCCGCACCAGGAGGCTGGACTTGTGGCACTGATGGAAAGAGAGTTTTTTGCGATCCATGGGACAAAAATTGTACTCCTGCATGAAGTTCTCAAGGCACTTGAAACAGTACGTGTGTCCACACGGGGTGTCCATTGGTTGCAGCAGCGGCTGAAGGCAGATATGGCAGATGAGCTCGTCGTCCACTTCATCCTGGAAGTTGTAGAGATGGTTGTCGGGCAGGAGGTGGAACTGGCCACACTCACCGCAGAGGTCGCCGGGCTGGGACGCGGGCTCTCCTGCTGCCGGGTCAGCCATGGTACCAGCATCGGGCGCTCCCGGGCCTGCAGGAGGGCAGCCTGTCACACAGGCACCGTCAGACTGCCTGTAAAGGGGAGAGGAGAAAGAATTCAAGCCACCTGTCACCTCTGGATCTAATCAAGTAAATATTAAACCGTATTCCTGCCTTAATCTCCCCCTGGCATCTTCGCCCCCTCCAGCCCATCTTAGGGCACTTCCTTCCAGTGAATGATCAACCCAGACGACAGCAAATGCTGGAACCTCATCCAGCAGAACATTTAAGCACCTGGGTAAACCGAAGTCTAAATTATTTCACATGCAACCCTGCCTCTGACTGAATAAAACCCTGCCAAACAGAGGAATGAGAAAACCTGAAACAAAAGCTGTGTATTCTTGAGGAAGAACAACCTAGAGAAGAGGAATGGAAGAGTGAGAAAATAACCAAGTTGCTTTTTAAACTGACACTTTTCCAGCGTAGTTTTCCAGATGATAGGGCACATTACTCAAAGATAGTCATGGTGCAATATCTGCCCAGACTGCTGCTTGTCTGAATTTTTTTGGTCTGTCTTGAGTTTTTTTTTTTGGTGGGAAAGAAGAAAAAGGAGGAACAAATTTTAAAAGGAAACTTAAAAAAAAAAATCTAAACCACATTTCCTTCCTCTTAAGCCCACCCAATCCAAAAAAGAAAACATTTAATTTTAACAAAGACTGCATTGTTCTCAACTCATCCATGTTCACCCACTGAAGCAAATTTCCTATTAAAACACTAAAGCTTTCTAAGAATAGAAAACATGCAAAAAAACAGTCCATGACTTTGTGGTAAGGTAACACAGAGGCATGGATTTCAGCAGGTTTTTAAATAGTTTCTTACAGTTAGTGAAAATAAGATAAGGTGCAAGTTAAGTTCTTTGCAGTTTCCTCTCTCCTGATTTTAATGAAGACATCTCCATCCACACTCGATCAATCTTGCCTAATATTATCAAATATAAAATTCACCTGCATTTGCTAGCAGATTACTTTGCAAGCACAGGCACTACCACAGGAAGGAATCTCTTCAACCTGGCAGCTATTCTAATGAAAGAAGCAATGCAGCCCTCCGGGAAGCAAACACACTTAAAATAAATAAATATATATATAAAAGACAGTTTTTGAACATGAAAAAACTGCAGGAGTGTGATGAAATGGGTAATGTTTGAGAGGCGACATGGAAAATGCCTGAAAACAAGGGCTCTGTCTGGAACACGTAAAGCCCAAACAGGAGCCAACCCTGTCCCGCGCCGGGGCCTCACATGCAACAGCAATTCTGGAGGAGGCCAGAACAATAAGACAGTGAGAACAGCAAGAAAAAAAATAGTCATGGGTTCCTAATAAAAACCATACATCATTCCACCTCAATTAATTGTGAAGCATAAATCAGCTATTTAATTAAAGGAATAACGTATCAGAAAAAAAAGTCATTTTTATGGGCTTTTTTTTTTTTTTTTTTTTTTTTTAAACCTAGCTACAAAAGCTTGCTCACTTCAAAAGAGTGAAACGTTATTGTCAAGGTTCCAGGTAGGTGCAGGGCACGAGCTGTTTGCTTCTCCTCCTGCTGCAGCGCCAGAAAACATCTGCCCCTTGAGGAAAGCGCTTCCGTGGGCTACACAGCCCTCACTCTCCTGTTTGCATCTAGCCTTTAGCTCCTTCACCACTGACTCAGTGCTCCCTCCAAGGAAAATCTGCCAGAACAATATTTTATATTGGAAAAAATGCAAACAGGTTAAACACTATTATCTGATACCTACCTCTACATGAAAAAGACTCAGATATCTCTACTGTTTCTCTTTTAAAAAGTCACCACTGGATATTAAGTTATTTTACAAGCTAAAAGTGCACATTTTGATAACAGACAATGACTTAACATCACCTATTGATTCCGATCAACCAACTCAGTGCCAGCACTTAGAGAAATGCCAGGCTTTCAAGGCAAACCCCCACCAGTAAGAAATACTTGTGCTTTGGGTTGTAGCATTTGCATAAAATTTTGGCAGGTGATTAAACAAATGTAGCTTCTCTGTGAAAACAAACTCTAGAGTCGTGTTGCTGATAACTACTTTTATATGGGGATTTTTCCACATATTTACCAAATTCATTTTCCACTCCATGTTTAAAGGCCGCAAGAAATGAATCCCACTTATGAGTCATTTCAGAGCTGGAAGAAGATAAAAACATCGCCACAACCTTCTGCTTTTTCCTTTCCTGCAACTCCGCGTCGCTCCGTCTTCCCAGCCCTGCACCTTGGAAAATGAGGTGTGCGGCGCCCGCGCAGCGGTGCCAGCACCGGCGCTGCCGTCGGCGGGAGGCTGCGGGGAGGCCGGGCGGCGCTGACGACACGCGGCCCGCGGCGCCCAGGGCGGCAGGCTCCGACAGGCCGCTCGGGCGGGAGGCAGATGCGCTGCAGAACCGCGCACACCTCGTTCAGGGACGGCTCCTCTGCACAGCCCCGTTCGAGGTGTCCGGGAGATGCCCTGTGTCAGCACACCGGGTACTGCCCCGATATCCTGGCCTTAGTAGAGGCCATCTGCTATTAGGTTTCAATCCGGCCCTAAGATTGCGCTGTTCGGTGAAACATGAGATATACTCAGTCATTTGTGGTTCTGTCAAATCACAGCTACTCATTCGAACCAAAGCTCCAGGCAACCCCCTTCATTCTTGTATTGCTCTTTCTGTTGTACCATTCCCCTTCCTCCCAGTAACGCTGCCTCTGGCCCGGTGCACGTTCCCACTTCTGCCTTTCTCCACAGCATTGAGATCCCTCCCTAGGCCTCACTCTGGCCACAAAACACCCATCTCAGATAAGGGTGCACTAGTTTCCACACAATCTGCATAACATGAGGAAGTCGTAAAACAAGGATCTAGCTTTGCCCTGAGTTGCTACTTACTGACTACATGAAAAGTATAAAAGCCCGACATATATCACATATATGTATGTCGTGTCGCTGCCATTATGGACTCTGCTTATGCAGTATAATGCAATGAATGCCCCTACAGTCTGAATAATGTTTAGGAAGCAACACCCTATTCCTGTATTCCTCAATGAAGAAATACAGCAGAAAAATACAGCAGAAAATGCTTTGTTTCCCAGGTTCTTACCCTGTGTGGTCCAGGCCAAAGATTTCTCAAGCATCACCTTCACTGCATGAAATAAATCATGTTTTGTTTTTAAACTAGGATTTCAGCAACCCTGACTCAAAGAACAGATTTTTTTATTATTTATTTTTAAAGACAGACTTATCAGGCTGTCTAATCTACCTCCCCGCCAAAGCAAGACTATTCCTGACGCCCTCAGCACGTTGCCTGGTCTTGCCCACGGCGCAGGGCCCCGCATACCCCTCTGCGCCGCGCGCGCCACGGCCCTCGCAGGGCGCCTGCCAGGAGCTGCACAAAAAGTGAGGCACGGGGCTCCGTTTCGGGCTCCAGAGCTCATCCCCAAACCAGCCGGGAGCTCCCAAACAGGGCCAAGGAATTACTCCTACTGCCAAGCGGACCAGAACTATCAAATCCGCGCAGGGGGTGAAGAGTCTACTACAGTTTCCAACGCGGCGCTTCCTCTCACGCCAAAAGGCCCGACAAGGTGCTGCAATACCCAAATACCCCCAGAGCAACACTGCTGCTTCCAGGCTTATCATTGGAAGCCTCAGCATTCCCCAATTCAACTCCCACTCCTTGTTTTTAAGGCATATAATTCATCTTTAATTTAGTTTGGAGCACCAACAGGCAAAATTAAGTCCAGGCCTGTCTATTTGATAAAAGTTGCTTTTAGTTATGAAAAATATTTATCTTAATGACATCTCTTTGAGGTGTGCTACCCCACTTAAACACTGAGAACTGACATCAAGGCAGGCTAAAATATCAACCCACAGAGGTATCAGCTCACAGGAATTCAGGGCTTAGGTACGATTGCAAATCTGACCTTAAGCAACTTGACTAAGATCACAGAGAAAGTCTTCAGAAAAAAAAGTAAAAATAAAAGCATAAAAACACTCTGCACGTTCAAAACGGTATCAAAAAAAAGGGGGGAGGAGGGGAAGGAGAGAAGAGAGGAAAAAAAGCTGCTTCTATTAACTGATTTACAAAACCACAAGTACGTTAAGTGAACTAGAGCACGTCCCCTATTGCAAAACCATGAAACAAGCAGTCAGTCTCCAATAGAGCAAGAACACAAAACACAAGCATAGAGATTCCTCCTGCCAGATCAGGATGGTTAGAAAAATGCCTCATGGTGCTTAATTTTAAAGAGTCTGTTAAATAACTAGCTCTTAATATTATAAAGTTACTTGCAGAGGAAGTGTTTTGGGGATATTTGAGGGTTTTCTGTTGTTCAGCTTTAGGTTAAAGCCTATGCACCCACATGGATCGATGACACTGAAAACCCCAACGTAAGAACTGGCTTAGGGGCTCCTGAGCACCCGCAGCGCCCGTCCGCGCACCTCTCCTGCTGTGCAAGAGCTCATTGTCATAATTGTGCCAGTTATTATATTTATGAGTCCAATTCCCTGAGAGACTGGAAATGCAGCATTCCAGCTGAAGGCCAAAGCAATTAATTGAATTTCTTTGGGTGGACAAAAAGCCCAAAAACATCAGATCAATTAAGGTGACTGAGGGTACACATAGGGAAGGCATGAACAGCAAACTCCATGTCCACCCAGCACTCCAAAAATGAGCCATAGGGAGAAAAAAAAAGATAATTCTTAGCAAAACTTGCTTCAGATAGCTTTCACTGAGAGAGCACCTGGTGTTTCTTATAACAGCTTTTCTTCAGGGTGAGACAGGATTTGTGTGTACTGAATTTCAGCTTTTCGCTCATTGAGCGCTTAAAAAAAAAAAAAAAAGGCAGGTTTTATGCAAGCTACAGTTCATCCTGGTGGAGCCCTTCCACTGCTGTTACGACATTTCCCAACCATGACTAAGCTGTCACCGCTGTAAAGCGGTGACATAGAAAATGTTGAAACACCCGAGGATTTTTGTAAGCAATATTTAAATAGGCTGACTTTCAGCAAAGCTGCA